TTGAGCGGCATCCGCAACGACGCGACCAACTCGCTGTTGTTGGTGGATGTGACGCCGTTGAGTTTGGGGATTGAGACGGTCGGCAAGGTCATGTCGGTTTTGATCAAGCGCAACACGGCGATCCCGGTGAAGAAGACGCGAGTGTACACGACGGAAGCAGACTACCAAACCCAAGTGAATGTGGTGATTTACGAAGGCGAGCGCGCGTGTGTGGACCACAACAACAAGTTGGGCGAGTTTACGATTTCGGGCATCGAACGGGCCAAGCGCGGTGAGCCCCAAGTCGAAGTGACGTTTGAGATCGACGCGAACGGGATTTTGAACGTGAGCGCCAAGGACAAGAAGACGCACGCGAAGGCGGAAACCACGATCAGCAGCAACGGCGGTCGCTTGAGCCAGGAAGACATTGACCGCATGGTGGCGGACGCGGAAAAGTACAAGAAGGACGATGCCGAGGTGTTGCGCAAGATTGAAGCGCGCAACAACTTGGAGGGGTTCATCTACCGCGCGTTGGAAATTGCCCGTGAAAAGGGCGACGCGGCGGCCGAAAACACCATCCGCGAAGCCCGCGAGTGGTTGGAGGACCACGAAGAAGCGACCCTCCGTGAATTGGAAGACAAGAAGCGATCGTTGGAACGTGCGATCAAGTATTAGTTCGGCCGTCGACTGTGTAGATGATCTAACGTGTGATATTTTCTATTCCAAACCTTTGTTCTGGACAGAAGCATCTCTCTTGGCGTGCTGGGAAGCAGATATGCCACACCTAGTTCTCGAGATCGTCAAGCATCTCGCTTGGCGCGCCGGGAACCAGATATACTCCACACTTCGCGGGCCATCCTCTATCGTGTCTACTTGGCGTGCTGATACATGCCACACCTTTGTTCTCGAGATCGCATCTCTCGTGTCTTCTTGGCGTGCTGATACATGCCACACCTTTGTTCTCGAGATCGCATCTCTCGTGTCTTCTTGGCGTGCTGGTGTCCTTGGGACATCAAAAAGTGGAGATGGCGTCGGATTGGACAAAAAGATAGATTTCCAACGAGAGCACCCAATCAAACACTCGCCACACCTCCTTCTCGACCAACTTTACACTTTAGCGACCCGATCGTGAAGAAGGACGCGGCGCACTTCCCCTTCAAGATCACTGCCGGTGACGACGACAAGCCGTTGATCGAAGTGACGTTCAAGGGCGAAGCCAAGAGCTTCACCCCTGAAGAAATCTCGTCGATGGTGTTGACCCGCATGAAGGAGACGGCGGAGAACTT